AGATGAATGGATTTAAAAACTTTGGCACATCTACACAATGGAATACTATGTAAAAAGGAAGGAACTCCTACCACTTGCAACAGCATGGATGGAGCTGGGGAGCATTATGTTAAGTGAAATAAGTCAGAGAAAGATAAATATCACATGCTCTCACTCATTTATGGATTATAATGAACAACATAAACTGATGAACAAAAACAGATGTAGAGACAGAGAAGCATCAATCAGATGCTCAAAACTCAGAGGGAAGGTAGGGGAGGGTGAGGGGGAGAGATCAACCAAAGGACTTGTATGCATGCATATAAGCATAAGCGATGGATGTGGACAACAGGGGGTGAGGGTGAGGGCAGGATTGGGGGGATGGGAGGACATTAGGGGGATAAGGACACATTTGTAATATCTTAATCAATAAAGGGGGGGAGTGAGAAAAAAAAGACCCCGAATAGCCACAGCAATCCTGAGAAAGAAGAACAAAGTTGGAGGGATCACAATAACAGATATCAAGCTATATTACCAAGCCACAGTTCTCAAAACTGCCTGGTACTGGCACAAGAACAGACATATAGACCAGTGGAACAGAATAGAGGACCCAGAAATTGACCCATGCCATTATACTCAATTAATATTTGACAAAGGAGGCAAGAGCATACAATGGAGTCAAAACAGCCTCTTTAATAAATGGTGCTGGGAAATTTGGTCAGATACATGCAAAAAAATGAAACTAGACCACCAACTTACACCATACACAAAAACAAACTCAAAATGGCTAAAGGACTTGAATGTAAGATGGGAAACCATAAAAATTCTACAAGACTCCATAGGCAGCAAAATTGCAGACATATGTCATAGCAGTATCTTTACAGACACAGATCCTAGGGCAAGAGAGACTAAGGAGAAAATAAACAAATGGGACTACATCAAAATAAAAAGCTCCTGCACAGCAAAAGAAACCATCAACAAAACAAGAAAGCCCACTGCATGGGAGAACATATTTGCCAATGTTATCTCTGATAAGGATTTAATCTCCAACATTTACAGGAAACTCATACAACTTAACAAAAGGAAGATAAACAATCCAATCAAAAAATGGGCAAAGGACCTAAATAGACACTTTTCAAAACAGGACATTCAGAAAGCCAAGAGACACATGAAAACATGCTCAAAGTCACTAATCATCCAAGAGATGCAAATCAAAACAACAATGAGGTACCACCTCACACCAGTCAGAATAGCTGTCACCAACAAATCAAAAAATGACAAGTGCTGGAGAGGATGCGAAGTAAAAGTAACCCTCCTTCTCTGCTGGTGGGAATGCAGACTGGTGCAGCCATTGTGGAAAACAGTATGGCGTTTCCTCAAAAATTTAAAAATGGAACTGCCATTTGACCACTTCCAGGAATATATCCCAAGAAACCAGAAACACCAATCAGAAAGGATATATGCACCCCAATGTTCATAGTGGTACAATTTACAATAGCTAAGATTTGGAAACAGCCTAAATGCCCATCAGCAGATGAGTGGATTAGAAAACTATGGAAAATCTACACAATGGAATACTACACTGCTATAAAGAAGAAGAAATTCTTACCATTTGCAGTAGCATGGATGGAACTGGAGAGCATTATGCTAAGTGAAATAAGCCAGGCAGTGAAAGATAAATACCACAAAATCTCATTCATTTATGGATAATAAAGAACATTATAACCTGATGAACAAAAAGATAGATACAGAGGCAGAGAAGCATCGAACAGGCTATCAAATTACAGCGGGAAGGCTGGGGAGTGATGGGAGGTGGGGGGTAAGATATCAACCGAAGGACTTGTATGCATGCATATAAGTGTAACCAATGGACACAAGACACTGAGGGGGTGGGATGAGGGCATGTGCCGGTGGGTAGGGGAGGCCGGGGGAAGGTCAATGGGGAAAAAAAGGAGACATATGTACTACTATTTGTAATACTTTAAACAATAAAATAAAATTTAAAAAATAATAATTTCCAGCTAATATTATTTTTTCTGTAAAAATAGATGTCAGTTGTTTATATGTAAATTTACATATTTAATGCTGTGTATTCCTCACAGTAGTTATAAACTATCTACAACTTTATTGTTCTCGAGTTGCTAAATTTGATTTATATCTCAGAGTTCATCATTGAGTAGTCTTCTCAGAAATAACAGTGATTTATTTTTTGTTAATTTACATCTGAGGATGTCTCTCTGCCGCCCATGCACATCAATGTCCACTTGGCTGAGAACAGATATCTTTGGTCCCAACTCGTCCCCATTCAACACCTTGTCGCCTTGGTTCTGTCCGCTGTATCCTGCCATTTCCTGGTCAGCAAATCCTGGTGAGCCTGACTTATCCTCCTTTCTGTGGATCGGGACTAGGGTAACTGTATAAAACAGAAGATCCAAATAGCGGTGGCCTGAGTCAAACAAAGGTTTTCCTTCCTGTCATATAAAAGATTTAACCTATTCAGGCTATAATAGAGGATCCATGTCATTAAAGAGATTACAATGTGGCTTCCATCTCAAAGTCCCTTCATGTCTAAGATGGATTGATGGCACCACTCCATGTCCTAATGGGAAGTAAAGGAAGGCAGGTGAAGGGTAAAGGAGTGAGCATACCAATTTAGTTGGCACCTTTAAAGAATTTCCCCATGAGCCCTGATTCAGCAGCTTGCAAGCAGAAGCCTCACTAATTACCTTTCGCTATACAGGAGGCTAGAAAATGGAGCCTTGTAGCTGGGCATATGGCCACCAGGAACAAAATAAGGTCATTGTTAAAAATGAAGAAGGGGAGAATCAATATTGGGTGGGAAGATAACTATCTCTGTCACAATAGATAACATCAATTTTCTTCCTAATGCTTACAGAATTTGTTTTTGAAATTCATAAAAATTTCTGGGTCATATCCAAGAGGATCTTTTTTCATTAATTTCACCTTGAATTCTTTTGATTTGCAGATCAAGGTCCCCCCTGCCCCCGGTAGTTGAAACAAACAAATTTATTTTCTCACAGTTCTGAAGGCTAGAAGTACAAGGCCAAGACACTGGCAGGGTTGGTTTGTTCTGAGGCCTCTCTCATTGGCTTGGCCATCTTATCACTCTGTCTTCACATGGTCTTCCTTCTGTGCAACACTGTGTCCAAATTTCCTCTTCTTATATGGACATAGGTCACATTCAATCAGAGTCCACCACAATGACCTCATTTTAACTTGTTTACCTCTTGAAAGACCCTCTCTCCAAAATTAATCACAGTCAGTGGTATTGGGAGTTAGGACTTCAATATATGAATTTTAGGGGGACGCAATTCAGCCAATAACACCATATTCTGTAGAATACTTAAAATCATCGAATTGATCATTATTCTTTATCTTTCATACCTATTATCTTTCTTCTGTCATCTTGTCCCTCCATATCACTGATCCAATTCTTCACGCTCATGCTTGAAACAAAGACTATATTTCCCCACTTTATTTTGGTTTTTCTTATATTTTGTTCATGTTTTAGTTATTTCTTTTTGTATCCTTCCCATTTCCATTTTTATCATTCTCTGTTAATGTTTCATAAAAGATATATGCTTGCTGCACACAACCACAAAATTTCAGTAACATTCATAAGCAGCACATATTTTGATGGTGGGCAGTCAGCTGATCTTGGATCAGTTCCACATGTCTCTCATCCTCCTCGTTGAATCAACGCCATCATAGCAATGGCAGAAGCACGAGAGGGCATATGCTCACTGACATAAACCCATTTCAGGTCCTTCCTGAAACGTGCTAACTGATTGGCAAAAGCAAGAGCCCAAAAGTCAAAGGCAGGAAATACATTTTTCCCACTAAAGTGAAGGGGAAAGAGTGATAATTTTGAAAAATAGTCTAATCTACTACATCATTTTCCATCTTTTGAGAAACCTTGAGCTTCAATCTCCTAAAGTTTTCCTGTTTTGCGTTATAAAATATTTTTTCAAATAAATGCTCTTTTCTAAGACCTCAAAGTAATGCTCATTTTCCCTTAAACTACAGAATATTTTCACAGGACCCAGAGTATTTCTTCAATCCTTGCATGGGAAGAAATCTATTCAGACCTGCTAGTCACCAGCAGACACGTGGAAGGAAGTTCTTAGCTCTGCCCCACCTACCACTACTCTCTGCTAAGGTCCTGACATCTGTGCATCTTGCACAAGGTTTTCTAGTGCCATATGCAGAAAAGGGACAGAAACTCCTCTTTCTCTGGCAGTGTCTCCAACTAAACTGAAGCATCACACACAAAGTCAGCAGGTTTTGCTTGAACAGGACAGGACTTGAAAGATTTCATTGCTGGCATGCACTGAATCCAGTGCTCCTCTTGTCTACAGCTAGTGAGCAGCATGGATAGTGCTAAACTGCCCTCTGAAAAGGCCTATGGCTATTTCAAAGGAATCTCGGAAGGCCATGACATGCACAGCTCTCTGCTACCTGTTGACTGTGCCAATGTTCTGCTGCCTTAACTGACTTACGATCTGGTCTATTCCCTTCCAGGTCTACACTATCCTACTCAATGTCTTGAGTCCACCCTAGCCCTTCAATATAGGACTCTTCTGAAAGCTTCCAGAAAGAGGACTGCAACCCTAAGTAACAAGAATCTTACAACTTCAGTGCATACAGCCATATTTCTTAATTAGGTTGACATCACTATCCAATTTAAGGATTTTTTTCTCTTTCTTCGGAGATAAACCAGAGTATCTCTCATGGCCCGGCATATTAAAGTCCCAACCGTAAATGTTTCTTATTATCTTTACATAAGAGGACCACAATATTTCTTATAGATCTGTACGTAAGAGGACCATAATAAATGTGCAATGAAGGAATGAACAAACTTTGAATGTCAGCCTTTCAGAAAATGGAGCATTGAAAACAGTATATTAAAAAGAAAAGTAAAAAAAAACTACAATATTCTGAGAAACAAATAATATTCCACATGGCCACAGTCACTGTGCCAAAGAGCCTCTGTAACCCACCTCATTCTCCCTTTTTCCTTGTTACGCTGCACAATTCGGCTGGTGGATTTGATGTACAGGTGCCGGTGCAGTTCATCTATGAGAACCAAGTGAAGATTCATCTTCTTGCTGTGAAGCTCCAGCCTAAGGTCACTCAGTCCTTCTACTTGGAGCAGGGGGCCCTCCAAAGACTGGACTGCTGACACCTAGGAAGGGGATGGAAGACAATAATGTATAATAACTAAGTAATCTAGAAATATTCTAAATAGGAAGAACTATTTTCTAAAAGACACTGTTAAAAGAGAATCTATGAAAACCTTACAAACGTACACTAGACTTTGTAGAGTACAGTAGTCCCCCTTATCGGTGGTTTCACACTCAGCAGTTTCAGTTACCTGTGGTCAACCAAGGTCCAAAAATATGAAATGGGAAAAAAATCCAGAAATAACTCTAAAGTTCTAAATTTTAGACCATGCCTTTCTGAGCAGTGTGATGAAATCACACACCATCCAGATCTACCCCGCCCAGAACGTGAATCATCCCTTTGTCCAGCATATACTTACTACATACATACACTATGTCCCCATTAGTCACCGAGTAGCCATTTCAGTTATCAGATCACAGTCATAGTATCAGAGTGCTTGTGATAAGTAATCCTTATTTTGCATAATAATGGCCCCAAACTGCAAGAGTAGTGATGCTGGCAATGGAATATACCAAAGAAAGCCGTACAGTGCTTCCTTTAAGTGAAAAGTTCCCAACTTAAAAAGAAAAAAAAAATTGCATGGTGAGATTGCTAAAATCTATGGTAAGAACCAATCTTCTTTCTGTGAAAGTGCCTAATTTATAAATTAACTTTTATAACAGGTATGCTTCTAAAGGCAGAAAGAGTACATATAGGATTCAGGTACCCACTGGGGATTTTGGAACACATGCCCTGCGAATATGGGGTGACTACTGCACAATGTGGGTAGGCCTCACTCTGCCTTTGAAGGATTTAGCATCTGAGACATAGAATGCTGAAGAAAACAAGCTTGATGAAGATAAGCATGAGGGCATCTAACGTACTGGCAAAGCCGTACATACAATTAATTCCCACATACACTGCCTATCAATGGACACAAGTAAAATGAACTCCCCAATTAAAGTGATTATATCACGCATATTCTCACAAGAATTCCACGTACTAATGGTTTAAATCAACTTTCAAAGCTAGCCTTTTAGGTCTAAATAGAAGCACATTATAAATATTTTAATAATTCTTATGATGATCATGAACCAGAGCTTCATTAGCCTGAGTCTACATGTGAGTTTACATAAAGTTAGTCTCTCTTTCTCATATACACAAACACAGAGGTCAATGCAATTTTACATGAATGTTACATGAGGACAATAGCAGTCATCACTCCTTGGATTTGAACAGTGAACAGAAAATAAACTATGGAGAGGGAGATATGCCTGGTATAAAGTGCAATTTGGGAGATTTTAAGACAAAATAGATTGGATGAATAAAAATGGTGTAGGAATGCCTACAACAAAGGGAGAAGATAGGGAGGGACTCAGGGAACCTGGAGCAATTCATTTGGAAACCAAAGTTTGTAGGTTTGGAAACCAAAGTGTATATGTTTCAAAAGAAAAAAATAGCATGTATGATCTGATCCCATTTATCCACGTATATGAAATTATATTTATGTCCTTATGTATAAAGATCTTATATATTTTTAATGAAAAAAACTTAAAGTGAAGAGAATATTGAAGAGAATATTCACCTTTGGAGAACAACGGTGGAAGGAAAAAAGCACAAAGAATGCAAATGTAATAAAAAGAACAACAGAGAAGACATGACCACAAGCTCAACTCAGAGGGCAAACAGCACACCAAGCTCCCTGAAGGGATTAGCATGTGATGACTATTACCTGCTTAGGTCATACTTCTAAATATTACTAAGATGTACAAATAAAGGCAATAACTAATAATGCTTACTTCAGGGTAAAAACATTAAATGTATTCATGCAAATAAACATGCTCCTAAAAAATGAAGCATTTAGACAAAAGCAATAAATGGTGAAGGCCATGAAACATACCAGTGGTTAAGTGTTCATCAGAGATCTATACCAATATACACAGTCATGGAGGAGTTGTGGACGGTGAATATGGACAGCTTGGGAGCTGCCAAATGCAAAGTGGCCCGAGATGGGGAGGAAAATGCAAAGGCTCACCCACAAACATATCACTTGTTTTGTGATATGCTATAATCAAATGTCAGCAGCAAATAGGTTTCCTTACATTTACCAAGAAAGAATGAGGAAATGAAAGAGTGACAAGCCCTGGGCCAGCTCTGTCCTCCGAAGCCCGCCTGTTCATTTTCATGCTGACTTGCAACTGCCCTGCTATGAGAGCCCTGGGCCTGTGCAAGCTGCAGCAATTCCAAATGGAAAGGCAGCCTTACAGAATGACCAGCGTGTCCCCAGGGAGGAAAAACAACAACAAATTCATTCACACGGATGCTCTAAAATGGATTTTAACTTGAGTCTCTAGCAGAGAAAAGAGGACGCAGTAACCTTTAGTGACATCGAAATCCAGAAAATGAAAAATAATTTGGTAAACCACTGGTCCATCATGTAGCCTTATCCCTTAAGGTAATTAAATCCAACTGAGATATTTAAGCTTAAAAATCACCCACTGCACATCCAAGCTTGATTTGTTTGTAGGAATTTGCATGAAGATTTTTAACCCAAATACATCAAATTCCAAATATAAAATTATATGATGTCAACTTTCAAAGCCTCTTAATTAAAATATTTTTAACATATAGGTAAAACAGCACAGTGCCTGGCACCTATTTATTCTGTGGGCAAAGAAACCTCAGAGGGTGTTTTCAACATGCTTTGATGCAGCATTTTCAGTAAAGTATTGTTTCCTTCATCGAACCATTGTAACCATATAGATTACAAAGTTTCTGAATATGTTTCATTGACCCAAAATACAGGAATATAAGTACAATTAACACACACACACACTATCAAGAGCTATCTTAAAAGATTTGAAAACCTTACCACAATGAGAATAGAGAATAGTCTCTTGTTTCTATATGAAAATACAGTGTTTTATTTTCTGTCCTTCACTTATTTAGAGTCTGTTTATAAAACTATAATCATGGAAGCTAGGCAAGGTCACTGTCTTCCCCCTACTCTACCCTTCCTAAGGGGTACTCAAACCAACTTGAAGAAAATAATTGTCAATGCAACATTTGATCCCTAGAACATCAGTTTACTGATAGAAATCTGACATTTATCTTATCTTGCTTTAAGTAGCCTGTACCAAAAAGTTTACACATAAAGAAAAACGTGGTGAGGCAGCATTCAAACCCACAACCATCACTGATGGTTAAGTCTGCTGTCCTGTGGGTCTGGCTTCCAAGTAGTTATTGACAGTAAGGCTTCACTACAGAAGAAATCCCCCTACATTTAGAACTGAGCATAACTCCTAATAAAAATACAACTAAAGAGACATTTAATGTATGAGAAATGGTTATTTCATAAATTATTTCACCGTTTTCCAAATGTAATGACTACAGAACACTTCAAAATAATACACTGATGAAACATTAACAGGAATTCAAGAGATGCAGATGGATCAAAGCAGCAGCAAAATGGCCTCACAGGTTAGTGGCTATGAGAAGTTATCAAAATTGGGTTCACAGATGTGACTTTGTGACACTAAATAATGTCACAAATATATATTAAAATTGTAAATGAAAGGTGAAGTAGACAACAAACAGTGGAATAGTTCATAGGTAAATGTTGCCTATACATCTACTCACAAGACAACTGTCATTCATTCATACCCCAAATGACCTCTTAAAATTCTAAGGTATGCCACACCATTTCATACAGATTACTTACTACAAGTAGATAATGAGCCAACTAATTGTATATAGAATTTCTCTTACATATATTTTAAAAAATTATTTGGGGGCAGGGAGGAGATACTATTTAGAAGGGAATTTTTTTTTCACAGATACCAATTATTATCTAACAGAAAATTGGTATTCTACTCAACTACTCATATAAATAACAGAAATCTGTTTTGGAGTTGAAAACAAGTATTTCCTTTAGGATTAGGAAAATAAACAAACATTTACAAAACGTTTTAACACATGAGATTGAACAGGACAGCATGTTTTGTTATTAGAAACCTACCCATTAAGAAAACAGAAATTCTGAAAAATGTTTCCATAACTCAAAAAATAAGTGAAATGCAGTTAAAATATACATAATCGAGAACTTTCAAAAACTTTTACCTTGAGATGACAGATAAGTCTACAACAAAAGAAATCTTGGTAATTGTGAACTATAGTACCTGTAATTTTTCTTTCCCGGTGTGTTTCTCAATCTCATTTTAGTTTAAATGAGGAAATCATTATTTCACAGTTAAATTCGTCTCCTGCCCACCTTATTCAGGCCGATTAGGTGGAAAGATCTAGTTTTGTGCCTTAACATAAACCAATAGAAAAGTTTCGGAGAAACACCAAAACTGGCCATACTCAACAGCTGCTTCCCTGAAGAAAATGCTAGACAGGAAGCTACTGGTCTTTTTTATTTATTGTTTTAGTTGGGAGAGGTGAGCTCCACAAAGGTAAGTGACATTAGTAACTGTTTCTAAATAGAAGTAAGGTTCCAGCAGAAAAAAAGAAAGGAAACTTGTAAGTATAAACAAAAAACCAACCTGCTAACGAAACCATCTGCTAGCTAATGAAAATGCTTATTTTGGCAACAATATTCCCTAAGAAAGCAAATGTTTGCAACTGTTGAGTCCAAAACAAATATTTCCTTCAGGACTCTGATAATTAGTTTGTCTCTCTTAAGGAAGCTTTTTTTTTTTTTAACACAACATAAACATTCTGAAAATGTTGCCTTGGCCCAACTTATGGATGCAGTAAAATGGTAATGAAATTTGACTATTCCAAAGAATTGATGCCTTCCCCTTTCCTGTATTATAAGAAGACACAAGCTAAACAATTTTTCAGAACGGTCTTAACTAAATAAGAACACCAAAAATCTTTGGCTGCAAAAAACAAAGAAGCTTGCCTGGGAACTCAGAAGAGGGCCAGTGACTTAAGGCCTCGGGCTATTGACAGTTTCCTATTTAGACCTCCCAGGAAAGCTGCAGCACAGGGCAAGGCCAAGAGCCTGGAGCAAAAACA